TGGGTGGAGAGAGGGAAGGGATTATGAAATTTGATGTCTAATGGTTATAGAGTTTCTTTTTAGGGAGAAAAAAATGTTCTAAAATTAGACATAGTAACGATTGTACAACTCTATACTAAAACCCACTGAACCCTACATTTTGAAGGGGTGAGTTGTGTAGACAGAGTAAGGCATCTAAATGCAAATATATCACTTAAAATGTTGCAACATAGAAGCCACTTTTCCAACACAGAACTACACCTAGCCAGAGCCCAAAGAACAAGATGGTAATCAGCAGATTAGTGGGTGGGGGAGGCCAGAACAGAGCAGAGTAAGCATGGTTGATTCTAATGGTCACAGCAACTAACAGCAACTAAGTGATATTCCAAGTACATGAGCTAGGAAGAGCTGGAAGTCAAAATTCTCACATACAAGATAAATAAGAAACAAAATTCAGAGTATTTAAAAATAGGTAAATACAAACGTAAACCATTAGAACAAAAATAAAAATCTTCCTAAGTACCCATATCCCATCTGATTTTTAAATAAAAGAATGAAATAGACATTTCTCAAAAGAAAGAGCAATTATAACAAAACATCTCAAAGAAAAAAAACATACAAATAAGTGACTTTATAGTCATTCTTTCAAGACATTATCAAGTGAACTAAAAATAAGACAGAAAATCTAAATGGCATAATCAATAGATAATCAATACAATAAATCTTATTTTATACTGGGTATTAAATCCAAGAATACTATACCACTGAATCATAACCCTGTCCTTTTTTGAGTCAGGGTCCAATTAAATTACCCACATTGGCCTTGAAGTTGCCATCCTCCTTCCTCAGCCTCCTGAGTAGCTGAGGTTACATGTGTGTGCCACCATGCCCTGCTAATCTTACAGAGATTTATATAAACAAACTCTAAGCTCTGGTGCTGTCTTCTCAAGTGACCATGCCACATTTACCAAAACTAATTATATTAGGTCACAAAGAAAACATTAGCAATTTCTATAAGGTAGAAATATTAAACAAAAAAAACCCCTAAAAGGCACATCATCCTATAAATTTACAAGCTTCCTTTTCACCAACTCCTAGGGAGTCTGTAAGTGAAATTATATATTTTTAAAGCAACAATGACCATGAAAACACCAAATATCAGGTTCAGTGAGATGCACTTAAAGCACTGATCAGAGGAAAACTCATTATACTAAACATACTTATCATTAAAAATGAAAGAACAAAAATAAGTAAATTCATTTCCAGGGTTAAAAAACAATTAAAAATAACAAAGTAAGTTGGGTGTAGTGACACACACCTATGATCCCAGCACTTAAGAAGCTGAAGGGGCCGGGAGATGGCTCAGTGGAATAAGCACTTCCCTGGCAAGCGGAAGGGCCTGAGTTCAATCCCTGGTTCTGCAAAAAAAATAAGTAAAAATAAATAATAATAATAAAGAAGCTGAAGCAGGAAGATTGCCACAAATTTGAGGCCAACCTGTGCTCCAGTGAGCTGAAAACAAGCCTGGACTACATAGCAAGACCTTGGCTCAAAAACCAAACCCAAACAGAGCAAAACAAAAACAAAGTAACTACTATAACAACAAAAAGTAAAACCAAATAAGGCACATGGGAGAAGATAATAAAGACAAAAGTAAATGAAAATGAGGAAGGTTTTAAATAAATGTAATTAATAATACAAATACTTATCCTTTCATAGAAGCAAAATAATTACCATGTGCTTTTTTTTGTTTGGTAAGATAAAGCCCTCTACCACTGAGCCCTCTTCTTCTATGCTCTTTTTCTTCATTAAGAAAAAAGGGAGAAAGCACAAAAATAAATAAGAAATTATATAGAGGCCATAAACATCAAAATAGAAAAAAAGAGAAAGTATAAGATTACTGCATAAATCTACCAAATGCACTTGAAAGCCCAGATGAGAAGTGAATTTTTAAAATAGAAACACAGGGGTGGGGGAGATAGCTCAGTAGAATAAGCACTTCCCTGGCAAGCGCAAGGGCCTGAGTTCCATCCCTGGTTCCGCAAATAAATAAATAAATAAATAAATAAAATAAAAATACAGGTCCCGAAATTTACCCATTAGAATTTAAAAGCTTAAACAAACTAATTTCCATATAAAAGATATATAAAATTATTAAGGAAATAGCCTCTTAGACCGAGTTTCACAGGGAACTCTATCAAGCTTTCAAACACCAGATAGCTGCAGCATTCAGAGACAGTATGATACAAGTACCACCAAGCCTGTAGGAACATCAACCTTTAAAGGAAGGTGAACTAGCAAAGTATTCTCTTGGAAGAGAGAAGATGAACTAGCAAAGGAGATACTTGGAAGGATGTGACCCTCCAACAGAGTCAGAAACTACAGAAAGATAAATGCTGCATAGAGAGCAAATAAAAGTAATGAAAAGTGTTACCACATAGTCTGAGGACTAAGTAGGATGTCAAAAGACAATAAAAAAAAAGAATTTTTTTTTTGTGGTACCGGGGATTGAACTCAGGACCTTGTGCTTGCCATGCAAGCGCTTATTCTACTGAGCTATCTCCCCAGCCCCCCAAAAACCCAATTATTAACCACTTCTTCCAACACATTGGCTGGGAAAGAGGAGAAAAACAGGGTGGCGACAGCGTGATTAGGAGTCTAGGGAGGAGGTTTTTAAATAGGACCAACTTGGAGAGGTTTATTCTTGATAAGGAGGACTATTTGCTTACCATTAGGGATCTAAAATAGAACAACCATCATAGTAGAGACAAGTTAGGTCCAATTACTGCAATATTTACTTTTATTTCTTAACTTATAACAATATAGTCCGAATACATTCCAAGTAATATAGTCAATTTCTCCCAACAGTCTATATTTATATAGTATTTTCTTTATTGATATAATGAGTTTTTGTCAGTAGTCACTTCCTATATTACATTAATTTACCAAACATTACTAAGTGCCAGTGACTGTTAGGGACTAGGAATACAAAGTTGGAAGAAACCTTGTTTCTTTCCCTGAAAAGCTAAGTCTCTAGTGGTTAAGAATGATCATCTTAGTGCCAATACTTTTTAACTTTACTAAGTGTTGTACAAATACTATCTCATTCAATCCCCCACAAGCTGAATTTAGCTCTATCTCATAGGTAAAGAGACCAAGACTTAGAAAGGTCAAGTGTCTACCCTGTGTAAAGGACCTGAAACAGTCTAATACTCACACTTCCCTACCTTGCAACTCCTTCCTTCAGAAAAATGATCCCATGGAGACTGCCAGGTCACTTGTTCAGATGCTCAGTCAGCAGAATTTGGCTTTAGCATACTCTAGAGTAGTTGACATGCTGCATCACATTTAAAATCACCATCTAAATTTGGAAAGCAGTTTTTATGCCCTCTAGCTGCTAGGATACTCTGTAGCCTGTAGCCTGCACAAGGTCTATGTTTTATTTATTATGAGCTCAAGGACTATGTTTTATTTAGCTTTATATCTGCTCCCCTGAGCTTTACATATCTTCAAATATTTGTTCTTTTAACATTTGTGCAGATTCATCATTCACATAGTTTCATAACTTTGATCCTATTTTTCTTCTTTGTTTTTGCAGTGCCAAGGATTGAACCAAGGGCTTCCCACATGCTATGCACACACTCTTATCACTGAGCTATCCCCACCATCCCCTCTCATACTGTTTTGAATATCTAGGGCTACAGTATAAAACTTCAGACTTAAGATAGCGTGGGGCACAGGGTATCATAGAACAGTTTTAAATTTTAAAATTTGGGCTGGGGAGATGGCTCAGTAGAATAAGCACTAGCCTGGCAAGCACAAGGGCCTGAGTTCAATCCCTGGTCCCCCTACAAAAAAAAATAAAATTTATTTCAAATTTTTTATGAAACTCAAGATACTCCTGTGCTTTGAAATTTTTATTAGAGAATAATAACATGAAGACAAAGTATGTTTAAATGTACTTTCCAAAAAATAAATAAATGTACTTTCATAAATGTCTCATTTGACTCTTAAAATCACTCTGTAAGATGAGTAAGACAAATATCATAATTCCTAGTTCAAAGTTGAGGAATAGTAGCTCAGGAAAGTGAAGTGATATATTCAAGGTAATCAGATATACTAGAATTTAAGAAGGTCTGAATTTCAAATCTCTTCTTCACTTAAGATAATCTTTATTTACTAAATTATTAGAGTAAAAAGGGAAAGTTGCTATCTCCTCTGATTTACTATCAATAAATAAGAAAGAAATATAATAACCAGAGGATGCTGGTATTTGGTTAGAGAAAATACAAACAATTCAAAAGTGTTCCCACAGAAATCCTTTAAATTTTACCTTTTGCTAGGATAAAATAATTTTACCTTTTGCTTAGGAAAGACACTTGCAAACTATTGGTAAGAATACAAATAGCATGCCTTTTCCAGAGGGAAACTGAGCAATTCCCATTTTAATAAAAACCATTAGTAGTATAATCTGTCCAACAATCCCACAATATAGGAATGTACATTAAGGAAAAGTTTGTGGATATAAGACTTTATACTTATCCAATAATTTTTTTTTCAGAACAGGAGATTGAACTCAGGCCCTTGCACTTGCCTGGGAAGCACTTATTCCACTGAGCCATCTCCCTAGCCCCCCAATAATGTTTTAAGTAGTGGAAAAATGAGAATAACCAACTAAATTAATACAGTCATGGAATGACATGCTATGTTGTTGGACAAAAAGTGATTACGAAAGAAAATGCACTTTAGAAAAACTCACAAATTCATCTTTGTATAGAAGAAAAGACCCAACGGTTATCTGGAATGGGCAGAGTGTATTTTTGTACATTTAAACTTTTCTGTATGTGGCTGACTTACTAAATGTTTCTTACTATCCAAATGTTTAAAATAAGATTTCTTGGGAAGACTGAAACTGCAGAGATTTCAAGTGAAAACCGTAGTAGTCATTTTTAAAAATAGCGTTAAAAAATAAAGCATTACTGGGGATGGAAGTGTGGCTGAGTGAGTGGTAAAGCACTTACATAGCATGCTCCAGGACCTAGGTCCTTCGATTCACTAAGGGAGGAGGGGAATAAAGCATTACTATACCACTACCTCTGAAATACCACTGAAAAATAAAACACTCTAGAGCAGCACCCAACTGTAGTGTAGCTACTCGGGTAGCTGAGACAGAAGAATCGCTTGAACCCACAAATTCGATATCAGTTTAGACACCACATCGAGACTTGGTCCCAAAAATTAATTAAAGCACTCTTATGAATCCACAGCCTAATCTTTTTAAATTCTTCTTTGGTTTGGACTTGTTCACATTTAGAAAACAATCCTAAAAAAGCTGCCTTTTGGCAAAAAGATGCCAGAGAGACTCTGATTTGCACCGGTATAGTTTGTAATTTGATTCAAAAAAAGAAAAGCAATCTCCTAAGTGGCAGCTTGAAAAGAGCCCGGAAAGGAAAATAAATGGGATACGTTTCTCATTTTTTTCAGTCCCGACCTACTGACAGAGCAGCCCTATATTGGCCCAGTTTCCTAAATACATCCTAGAGAAGCACAGGGAACGCACCAGTTTTCAGGAGATGTTTCTAAAAAGACAAGTTTTACTTTGTAATGCAGGATAAAGAGCAGCCCTCACTACTCATTCTCAATGTTATCTGGGAAAGATGCCACTGCGCGGCACGAGAGCCTCAGGAGGACAAAGCGGGAGCTCCTCGGCTTAGGTCCCGCGGGCGCGTCCCGTGCCGCCTCGGTAACAAGGACACCTTCCGGGACCCCGCTCCCCCCGCCCCCACTATGGACGCTCGGGCCACGGGGACCGCATACTCCCCGAAGACAGGGGTTAGACTGGGATGGCGTGAGCAGGTGCCCCACTCGCCGCGCCAGAGGGAAGTCCATCGTCCCTCCGCCAGAGGGACACACAGAAGCCATCAACCCGGAGCCAGCGTTGGGCCACCGCTCAGAGGGAAGGGGCTGGCTGAAAGACCTAAAAGGTGGCCTTCGTCAGGGAGCCCGGTCCAGACCGCCGCATCCTCTCTACAGCCGCACCCGCCACACCGAGAACCGCCCCTCCCAGGCGACAGACACGCCCTCCCCGCGGGTCCGGGCCTCCTCACCCCGCCCGCTCCTCAGGGCCGCTTACCGGATCTGAACGTCCTCGCCACCGCCACCACCGGCCGTTTGGGCTGTGCCCCTCTCTCGGCGACCGCCTCCCACAGCAACGGGACCACAACTACCTCACTCTATCCGCGAGACCCGGAACCAGTTCTTTCCGGAACCGCCTAGCCCCGCCCCCTCCGTGCCCCGCCCCCTGCCGCGGCCTCGTGCTCCCCGCCGGGGTTCCAACGACTCCTCCACTCGCCGTGCGAATAGGCTACCCAGGCCCCTCCTGCCGAGCGCCGGCGCCCTCTGCCGGCAGTTTGCACCACGCTGGCTCTGTCGAGGGCGCCTGCTTTTCTCCGCCACAGTGTATCTAGAGCGCCTGCGCCTACTCGATCGCGTCTGCTGCAGGCGGGGGTAGGGGGGTGGGGGGTTGGGGGGGTGGGAGGGGACGACGACGAAGACGAGGACGTTCCGAACTTACTGTGGAAAGGAGTCCTGCTAGTTGAAGGGCTAGGACCAGAGATGGGCCCTTCAGTCAGGGACAGGATATTGGTCGCCTGAGGCTTGCAACCTTGTGCAAGTAGATGCACCACGAACTAGAGATGGCAGCTGAGCACATGGGCGTCCACATGGATGTGCACATGGGTGAGCACATCCAGCCCTTACCTTGGTCCACCAAAGCCCTTCCAGAAGCAGCTCACCTGAACCTGCACCTCTGTGGACTCTCCCTGCCTATTCAGCCTAACCATTTCTCTTACCTTGAAACATTCCTCATGGCTGCTCAAATGAAGCTTCTGCTGGGAAAACAAAACCTTCCTTCTGGACTTCCCAAATAGGTTAATGATACCAAGACATTGGTACACTGCAATGCAAATTCAAAATCAAACTCTTGCTCTTCTGTCTCCTTCCTCTCCTGTTCTCCTTTTCCTTTCTCCATCCATCTGCTGGGGTCATGCAGGGAAGGACATATGATAGGCAAATGTTCTGCCACTGAATTATGCCCTCAACCTGTTTCTGGTACTCTTGTTTTCTCTTCTCCCATACTTCATCCACAAGCCCCAAACGTAGCATTTCCTCTTCACGCTTAGCACTTTCCCACGTGACAACTTTGATATTCTTGTGCCCATTGCAAAGTATCTTTCTCAGGATCCACACCATCTGGTGGTATTACCTGTTACATTCCCTTGTTACTGTCACCCAGAATTAGTTTTCCTCTCTACCTGAGTTAATGCCCATCATGCCATTGAAACCAACATACCCCACAGTTCATCTTCCTCAATCCAGGTGACCTTCATCTTTACTTTGTCTATCCATTTCTAGTTTTATAATCCATCTCTAAAATTTTATATTTTTAAATCCCATTTATTTGAACCTACAATCTTCATCGTCACTGTACTGCATTGCCTTTAGTGTCTCACACCCTCATAAACCGAGAAGCTCCTTGCTTTGCTTTTTGCCACATCATAGCATCAAACTACCACGGATTTTCTGTCTGTTTAAGGTTTTGAGTTCTTCTTATCTATGTATTATGGCTTCAATTCAGGAAGGCTTTTGTCCATTCTATCTTAAAAAAATGTTCTCTCTCTTTCTCCTGTCTCTCTGTCTCTGTCTCTCTGTCTCTGTCTCTCTCTGTCTCTGTCTCTCTGTCTCTCTCCGTGTGTGTGTCTCTCTCTCTCTCTCTCTCTCTCTCTCTCTCTCTCTCTCTCTCTCTCTCTCTCTCTCTCTCAATTGAACTCAGGACCTTGCACTTCCCCTGAGCTACATTCCCAGTCGATACTTTTTTAAGAGTAATTACCTGTGGTAGTTCTGTTCTTTTATTTTTCTCATCTCTTTCACTTTCAGCACTCCAACAGACATCAAATTTGCATTATTGATGTTGATTTAGCTGCCCAGAGCATTACTGATGGCTCCATTTTCACTCAAATTTTATTACTGAGATTTTGATTTTTATATACATTGAAGTCTGAGAAGTACTTCTCTATCATTTCTATTCCCTGTAAATCAGTAGAAAGGCATTGAGGGTTGATGAAATTCAGGATATTTTTTAAATTTTTAAACCAGAAAAAAATGTAAAAATTTTCGTTAAAAGAACAATTCAGGCTTTGATACAAACATAAGACAAAGTTCTAGGATCGGGGAGATAGCGCTGTAGAATAAGCACCTGCCTGGCAATCATAGGGTCCTGAGTTCAATCCCCAGTACCACCAAAAAAAAAAAAAAAAAGAAAAAGAAAAAGACAAAGTTCTTAGCATCCTTGTCATCTACTGGAGGGAGGCTGCTTGGTGTCCTGGCTGCCCTTCTGTGTAGCTTACTTTTTATAGTGCTAGTGTGAAGAAAATATTATGAAGAGGGCCGGCCAAATACCTCAACGGGTTAAAGTGCCTGCAAACAGGCGCAGGGGCCAGGGGTTCGATCCCCTGGCCTGCTGTGCCAGCCCCTCCCCTGGGGAGTGCTGAAATGGCCATTGAGACTGGGCATGGTGGTGCACGCACGCCTGTATACCCAGCTCTGGGGACGCTGAAAGCAGGAGGATCACCACGAGTCCGAGCTTCAGAGTGAGACCCTGAGACAACCAAGTACACTACAAAATATAGGCTGGGGAGCTTGCTGGTTAGCTCAGTTTTTTTAAAGCAACTGCTTGGGCAAACTCAGGCGCGGGAGACTGCGGTTCGATCCCCAGCTCCACATGCCGCGCCAGACCCGCCCTTAAGGCAGCCTGAGCCAGCCAAAAAACAAAACAAAACAAAACAAACAAACGAAAAAAACCCTTCTCAAGTTTTTAGGGGGCTTGCGTGTTAGCACATTAGTTTAAAGCGCCAGCTTGGGCAAACTCAGTCGGGCGCAGGGAACCGCGGTTCGAACCCGGGCTCCACATGCCACACTGGACTCGCCCTTCAGGCAGTCTGAGCCAGCCCCCTCACCCAAAAAAATTCTTCTCAAGTTTAAAAAATAATAGCCCTGCCAGATAGCTCAGCGGACTAAAGCGACTGTTTAGGCAGAGCTCAAAGGCCGGGGTTCAATCCCGGTACGGTGGGCCGGCCCTGCCCCCGGGGCATGCTGAGATGGCGACTGAGTCCCAGCGTCGTGGGGCCTCGTGGCGCGTGCCTGTAATCCCAGCGTTTGAGGCTGAAAACAGAAGAATCACTACAAGTCCGATCTGTGTAGTGAGAACCTGTAGACCCTGTACTAAACGCATAAAAAATTATATATATATATATATATATATATATATATATATATATATATATATGTATATAATTTCTCCTCCTTTTAAGTTGTGGATATAGGACAATATGTGCCAGTGACAAGAAGGTGAGTAAAATGTTTGTAGACAGGGTCTCGCTATTTCGGGCTGGCCTTGTGCTTTCATAGCCACTAAGCTGGTCTCAAACTCAGCCATCCTCCTGAGTGCTGGGGTAACAGGTGCGCACCAGCACACTCAGGGTTTCTGAGGCTGGCGAGGCAAACCTGGGATTCCCAGGCCATCAAAGTGCACCCGAGGTTTGGAGCCGACAGGCATATGTGGCTGGGGATCAAACTCAGGACCTCATGCTTTCCGGTTAGGTGCTTATGCGTCTGAGCTATCTCCTCAGCATCTAAAGTGGTTATTACATAGTTGTATTGTGTTGGTTGTGCCGTCTGTATCTATGTTAGCACTTATACCTGAGGACTGATAAGCCAGATGAGGTTTCTGTTGACTGGGTGACTTCAGTTGTGTGGCTTAATGCTATTAATAAAATTGGGTTGATAATGCTTTGCTGGTCTTGTTTCTTCCTCCTTTTGTTTGGTCCCATGGTATAGAAATTTGTGTGTGCTTTGTTCTTTCTTTACCTTTGCTTTTCTAATATCTTTGTCAACAGCAGAGCACAGCAAGAAATGGTGTATACTGCTTGGAAGAAAATGTTTTTAAACACACTTACCCTGCAAGTTCCTTTTTGTTCATTCTAGTCACTGCCTTTATGTCTATTTTCCTAATGAAATGGGAGACAAATTCCTAGAAAGTCTGGTAGCTGGTACCAGTCCTCTGATTCCATAAATCATTTCTGATGGCCTCTTGGCCCTGGTTCTGCATGTCATATAATATTTGTAACTTAAAAAATTGATGTGGACTGCTGGGTATATTGGTGCACACCTTCAGTCCCAGCACTTGGAAGGCTAAGGCAGAAGGATTGCTATGAGTTTGAGGCCAACCTGAACTTCATAGTAAGACCCTGTCTCAAACAAATAAACAAACAAAAATATGGTGTGGAGTATCTCCAGTAATGCAAGGTTAAAATAAATTACTAGATTAGGCTTAAATCTTAATTTTATTGAAAATATTTTAAAGTTAGTCTCTCCTGACTTAAATGTTCACTGCCCCCAGATGCTCTCCAAATCTCAACAAATTCAGTTCACATAGTGCTTCCTATCATAAGCAGTCTGTTTTCACCCTAATACAACTCCCAAATCATTTCAAAATCATTAAGCTTTCAAAAAATTCATTTTCCTGAGAAATTTGCTTTTTCAATTCCATATTTATAGATATCCCATATTTATCACTCTCCTTTAGACTGGAGGAAAAGAGAATCCTATGGTAGATTTTATAACAATATGATGAAAATATTTAGCATTTCTGTCTTCCCAGACTCCCCCACTATCAATTTTTCTCCACTATCAATTTTGAAAAGTACATAAGTGTATTACACATTCCCACTGGACTACTCTGGTCTAAGTCAATCATGACTGGCGAAGAAAACAATACACCAAATTGAATGACTGCCTTTTCCATAATATAGTAAACGTCTTCCTTTAGGAAGAAGCAAACCAGCCAGAGACTATGCTTCCCAGCATCCTGTGAGCCTAAGTGGGGCCATGTGATGAGTTCTTGATGATGAAAAGCAAGTGGACTTGGTGTGTGCCCTTCCAGGGAGAAGGGGTTGAAAACTAGTGTGTCTTCATATTCTTTCACTATTCTGTTGGCTCAAAGCAGAAAACCATGATGAACTTGGAAGAGGAAGGAGCTACATGATGGACAGAACCTGGTCTCTGAATTATCAAAGGAGAGTTATGTGCTGACACATCTGTTTTTGACTTCACAAAACTTCTCTTGTATTTAAAGCACTCTGCACTTTGGGAGTTTTTGGTTACT